TTGTCGGATTAAACGAGATCATCTGTGGAAAATGCCTGGCAGTGTGGTTGTTGTTATTGATAAACTTAGTCCTTCTCAAATACTGAGTAACAAATCAGGTCCATGTGCAGGATCCTAGTTATTTCCCTGATGTTGTCAAAATTAGCTTCTTTCCTCCCTCCTATGTTTTGCCCTTAATTGGACTTTTCCCCTTGCCTAGTCACTGCCCTGCCTTTTTAAAGATGAATCCCCCTTCTTGTTTCTCATAACACATTTCGAAAGCAGGAGTAAGCGCCCCAGGACTCGGAATTTTACCAGGGCCGTGCAGGTCCTGCCTGCCTTGGCTGCCGGTCTAGCCAGAGGGGAGGAATGGAAGGATCAGGTTCAGCTGGTGCTTTCTGGCCAAGGCTTATGCTTACATCTGAAGTGTGGAGAGCTGGGAACTATGAAATCTGATTTTCTGCAGCTCTTTTCCACATAGTAACCTTGTGGCACTTAAGAAATTGGTTCTAGAACATGAGTCAGTGAGGATATGATGCTATTTCTTTGTTTAAAAGTGAAACCCTCTGTGTGCCTGTGGGCAGATTATTTCAACACAGAAAGTACTCTCATCTGAGTAGACATCACCCTGTCCCATGATTGAAGCCCCAGGGTCTGTGCTTGGATTTTATAGACCAGGGGTTGATAAACTGTTCCTGTGAAGGTCCAGGTAGTACATATTTTAGGCCTTGCGGGTTATGGCTTCTCAGCTCTGCTATTGCAATGTGACAACAGCCATAGACAATATGTAAATGAGTGAACATGGCTGCCTTCCAACTAAATTTTACGTACAAAAACAGGTGGCAGGCTGGATTTGGCCTGTGGGCTGTCGTCTGCAAACCACTGTTATTAGACATTTGAGAGGAAGCTAAGAATGGGCAAGAGCACGAACATTGGAACTGGGTTTGTGTGGAACCAGCTCTGCCGCATTTCAACTCTGGTGCTTGAGCAAGTCACTTAATAAGGGGTAAGAGAATCTATTCTTTGAGTTATCTTGAGAATTCGGGGAGATGATGTCTATGAAGAGTCCCTTGGTGGGAGGGGCTGTTGGGAAGGGTTTTAGGCACATTGAAGGCTAAAGCTAGTTAGAAGCTTATTTGCTTATTTATTTTTCAAGCATGAAATCTAAAGGAAAAAACATGTGGCTGCTGAGAAGGTCACCATGGTTGCCAGGAGCTGTGGCTTTCACCGCTGAGTAGGTAAACAGCGCAACTAGGCGGAACCAGTTAGACAAGTCACGCCAAAAATAAAGATAAGGTTAAATATCGACTTCAGTAGACTCAGCCTGCTTTTTAGCTTTTATAACAAAAATTAAGCTGAGTGATGGAGAAGAATGTGATCAATAAATCCTACCTACTGAAGGACTTGTAGTTCATTCTTCAGCAGAGCTTTTTCAGTCAGCCACCTGGTGCTGTGTTAGGCAGCAGAGGAGAAGAAGGTGCCAAGACAGGGCAGGTGCGCTTCTCACCTGGCAGAAGCTCACAGTCTAGGAAAGGGCAGTAGGGAGAGGTTGGATAACCACATGCAAAGCAGTACGGACTGTGGCTGCTCTCGAGCTAACCCAGCAAAGCCAGACTTCTTCATCAGCCTCTGACTCCGTCCTACCTGCCGAGACTCCAACCCTCCCCTCCCTAGCCCACTCTGTTCCAGCCTAGGCCGTTTCCACCCACCTCTTTCCATGCTTATTTGGAACTAATTTTCCATTCATTCATTTAGTTTGAGTTTGTAGGTCCCTGTTCTCATGGATCTTAAGGGCTAGCAGAAGCCCTAATGATTTACAATCATTTGTAAAACATGCTATGAGGGTGAGGGACAGAGCTCTGTGACAGTTCACAATTAAGAAAATGACCCAGACAAGGAAAATTTCCGTGGTGTGTGTTTGCTTATGTTTGTGCACATATAGGTTATTTTATACAGAAATGGGAGCAAGCTATACATACATACTACTCCTTTCCTTTTGTTCTGTTCTATTCCATTCCATTCCCTTCCTTTTCTAATTGATTTCCTTGGCAAATTCAAGTTATGCCCAACATGAGTTAAGGATATATTTAGGAAATAGGACCGAGCATTTTAGGGGTAAAGCATCGTTAATGTATCAGCACAAAAAAAATTTGGTTAGGTTAAGAAAAATTGGAGTGTTTTTTTCCCCCCTGGCAGATAAAGCTTTCATTTCAACTTTCTGCCATCCTTTAAATTTTGTTGTAGTTTTTTTCCTTTTCCCTTAGAATTTCTTTTCTTTTACTCTCCACTTTTTATTCTGAAAAATTAAAAACCTATAGTAAAGTTTGAAAGAATGAACATCCATATACTCTTTGCTTAGACTCAACAGTTAACATTTTGCTTTATTTGCTTTCTCTCCCTCTACAGATTTAATCTTTCATTTTGCCAAACCATTTGACAGTAAATTGCAAGCATCGTGAGACTTCACCCCCAAATATTTTAGCATGCATCTCCTAAGAACAAGGAAATTCTCTTTTCTAGCCATAAAACCATCATCATACCAAAGAAGTTTAACATTGATACAGCAATATTATGTAACATGTATCGGTTATTCAAATTTTCTTAGTAGTCCCAAAAAAGTCCTTTGTAGCTCTTTCTTGTAGATCTGTAATCTAATCAAGGTTCATATTTTGCTTTGCATTACATTGCATTTAGTTGTCATGCCTATGAATCCCCTTCATCTAGAACTGTCTATCTGTTTTTTGGGGGATCTTTCATAACATTAACAGTTTTGAAAAATCCAGGCCAGCCCTCTTGTAGAATGTTCCAAACATAGGGTTGTCTGAGTGTTTCCTCGCTGTAAGATTCAGGTTAAACATTTTAGGAAGAATACCACATAGGGGATGCTGTGCCTTTCCCATTAAATCACAATCAGGAATATAATATAAATTTGTCCTATTATTGGTGATGTTAAGTTTGATCCCTTGTTTAAGGTGGTATCTGTCAGATCTCCCTATTTGAGGGTATCTTTCCCCCATGTAGGTAATATGTAGCCTGTGGGGTGATATTTTGAGAGCTGTGAATATCTTGTTCCCTAACAATTTTTGATTTTAGCATCCATTGGTGATCTTCGTTGGATCAGTCATTACATTGTTGGTTGCAAAATGGTGTTTTTCTAATTCTATCATTCCTTCTACATTTATTATCTGGCATTTTTTTGTAAAGAAGAGACCCTCATACTTTTTTTTACTATGCTTATGGACTCATGGATTTTTTGATATTGTGTTATGATATATCACAATTTTTAAAAAAAATATTTTGTATTGAGGTATGATTTACATATAGTGAAATATACAAATATTAAGTGTATAATTTGATTAGTTTTGACAAATGCATATGCCCACCTCATGCCCACCCTAAAACACAAAAAGTTTGCGTTGGCTTTTTCTGAGTCATTCCCTGACCTCCCTCCTGCTGAAGCAGTGCTGATCTGATTTCTTTCTTCATTATTCTCTTTGATGTTTAAATTGTCCCAAATATTGGCAATGAAAGCCTCATGGGGTTGGCTCTGTGTCCTTTTGACATGTCCTCAATTTGTGAACACTTTCTTTCTTTTGGGTACAAAGAAGGTGTTTGTACCCAAATTCTTTTTAAAAGCTGAAAATAGGGTTGTCTCTCTGTATTTGTGGGTTCCACATCTGTGGATTCAATCAACCAGGGATCAAAAATATTTGGGAAAAAAATTATGCAAAGTTCCAAAAAGCAAATTTTGAATTTTCCACATTCCAAATACTACACTGAACTCATGTGAATGAAGTGATGTATAGGTATTGTATTAGGTATTATAGGTAATCGAGAGATAGTTTAAAGTATATAGGAGGATGTGTGTAGGTTCTATATGAGGGCTGTCCGGAAAGTATCCAGCCATGTAACGTGAAAAATATATTAACAATGACTGGATACTTTCTGGGCAGCCCTTGTACAAATACTATGCAATTTTATATAAGGGACTTGAGCATCGGCAGATTTTGGCATTTGTGGCTGGTCCTGGAACCACTCCCCCACGGGTACTGAGGGATGATGACTGTATCTAATGGTATGCATACTGTTTTAATAATTTCTCCATGATTGGGCTTTAGGTCATTTCCTTTTTTATCCTGTTATAACAATGCCGCAGCAAACGTTTTGGAATGTATATTCTTGTACACATACATATTTTTGTAAGCTAGAGCTCTAGATGTGGTATTTCTAGGTCAAAGAGTATGCATATTTAAATTTTTGATTGATCTTGACAAAGCTTTCCCTCTCCTCTTAAAAAGCTACACTAATTAACTTTTCACAAACATTGCTGGTTTTCCCAAGGCCTCACCAATATTGAGTTTCATCTGTCTGTGTGTATATGGTGGCACAGAGTTTGAATTTGGACTTGTCCTTGAGTAGAGTGGACATTCAAACCATAAGTCCTCTTCTTTTGGTTCCAAACCCTCCAGTTTTGATTTGCACAGAAATGAAATCTCTCCTCAAGGAGAGGTTCAACACAAGGAGAAATTTTTGCCATTCTCTCTCATTCGATGTCACATTCACCATCATAGCCAGCTGAAAACGGAGGACATTCTTATTATTTTTATTCTGCATCAACTGTATAAAGTAGATAAATGAGGAAAGGGGGGCCTGAGAGATGACAATATTGCCCCCCTGGGTCTGATCCTCTTAAGCAGTCTTTATAAATTTGGTTCACAGTTACTGTTCTGTATTTCTAACCTTAAACAACTACTGGAACCACTTTTATTTTAGAATGAACCATGATGATTCTACATTTGGGATAGCAGCTTTGTCATTGTGTATGTGTGCGTGTGATCACTCTCTGAAGCCAGCTAGTAAAACTAAGCCTTTTTGTTTTTGTTTTATTTTAAATATTGAATCTTAGATTAATCAAATACCTTTGTGGATGACTTGTAACTTTTTTCCCTTTTTTACAGGTTGAGAGGTGTTTGAAAGCTTACGTCTCTTTGCTGAAGTACCTGTGTTGCTTTTTTTTACAGGTGTTCGAAGCTGTGATTTCATGGATCAATTACGAGAAAGAAACCCGTTTAGAGCATATGGCAAAGCTGATGGAACATGTACGACTCCCTCTCTTACCTAGGGATTACCTAGTTCAGGTGAGTGCTGCGTGAAGAACCAAGCACTTCCCTGTCCACCCAGGCCTCTAAGGAATAGCAGGGGCCACCCTGGTTGTGTGCAGTGGTTGACGAGTTTAATGGGTCTTCTGTGTGGGTCAAGGACACCAACCCACTGGGTTAAGTGTGAGGTGTGGTGACATAGAGTTTAAGAGCACAGGTATGAGAATAAGACACTCAGGTTTCAGTCCCTGCTCTATTGCTTATTAGCTTTGAGTTTTTATTTAATCTCTTCAAACCTCAGTTCTTTTTCCATAGAACAGATATGATAATAGAGTCCAGCAGGGCAGTTGTGGAGACTAAGGGAGTGTGAATATGCAAGTTAGCTGTTTAGCACAGACCCTGGCGTAACCCGTGTTCGATGAACGTTCGCTTCTTTGACTGTAGGGGACCAAAGCAAGAAGAGCCGTTTTCATAATGTTTCTGTGTTCCCTTTTGGTCTTAGTTTTAGGCAACTTGGAGCGCCATTCAGGACTGTGAAACACAGCTCCTCACAGGTGCCTAGAATAGGTAGTGCTTCTCTTCCTCGGAAAGGAAAGAACGATGGAGAATTGTGGGGTGCCCCTGTGGTGCCACATGTTTTCTCATTTAATTCTTACAACAACCCTGGGAGGCAAAGATTGCAACCCCCTTTTTGCAAATGTGGGCCTTGAGGCTTACGGAGGTGGGGTCGCCAGCCAGTCTGAGGGAGGTCAGGACTCAGACGCAGATCGGTCTGGCTGTGAAGCCCGTACTTCTTCCACCAAGCCAGGGCCGTCTTTAATGCTCTCTATTGTTTACCCGTGACGTGACTTATTTCATATCGGAAATGGAATCAGACGCTTTTACAAGCAGGCGAAAGATAAACTTTAAAATATACAAACAAAACAAAACACTGAAGCAGGAGGCCGTCGGTCGGCTGTCCCCGAGGGGTCTCCGGAAGGAAGGGAGGGTGCAATGCAAGGATAAAAGAGGAGGCTTCGCCACCCAGTGGCTCCGTTACTGCCCAGCCACGCGACCCCGGGCACTTCCTCAACTCTTTTAACCCCTTTAAACCTCAGTTTTCTCATCTGGTAAAAATAGCACATGTCCTTACAGAATTGTTTGAAGATGAAATGAGATAATCCGTGCAAAGCCTATAACACCATGTTCAGTGAATGTCACTGATATACTACTGTCTTTGTGACGGCTGCTGTGATTGGCAGTAGTGGGTGACATAGTGTCCTCATGAGCACCTGTAAACTCCTCTGCTCGTGACACTGTTGCTTGATCCCAGGCCTAAGGGGTCAGTGAACTGTTCTCTGAATCTCTGTTACTTCACCCTCCGCTCAGGTGCTGAGGGGTACACTTGCAAGCCTCTGTCCAGGCCTGCATGCTACATAGGGTGGTACCACTGCCACCTGGTGGCAGCATGTCCTTCCTGTAGAAAAGGTCCCCTAAGCAGAGGGACCCACTCTGCCTGAGCTCCCAGTGTCAGAGTCAAACCTCCCACTGTCCTGTGGGAAACTACTGAAGGTGGAGGTAGGTGACCGGCCTCCAGCACGGTCTCGCTTCCACAGGGAGGGTGGGCGGCGTGGGGACCTGGCTTCCAGGGAAAGGTAAAGGGGCATTAACAGACCTTTGGTCACAAACACCACCAGGCACTTACAGCTGAAATTTAACAAACTTAACCATTAGGAAGGGGTTCCTGGGTTTATTATGGCAAAGTAAAGTAGGATTCAGATCTAGAAAAGAAGGGGGCCAGAGGCAATGGACGTGAGAACTATTATGTGGGTCCCCCCACTTTTTTTTTTTTAAAAGGGCTTTTATCAGGCCTCCCAGAGTGAACACCTCTGGGAGAGGATGTTTCATTAACATTCATTTGACCTTGAAACTTTAAACTAGTATAACCTGCTGGGGATGGTGATAGTGGTGGAGGAGGAGGCAGGGGAAGGGAAGGCTGTGGGTGGACCTATACCAACACTGCCTAGCTTTTGGGGGGGCTTTTTTTTTTTGCAATGGCTAACGTTTATTAGGCTTTTACTAAGCATTTAAAAATATTGTACTAAATGTGTAACATGCTATATTGTGATAAAATCATGAACTTTGTACAATTGAATTGTACAATTCGGTGGCATTAATTGCATTTATGATGCTGTACAAGCATTACCGTATCGATTTCTAAAACTTTTTCATCGCCCTAACTTGAAGCTCTGTACCCATGAAGCACCAGCTTTCCAGGAGAGCTTTTCATTCAAGCTGAATAAGTTCTTTGGGAGAAGTAGCTGCCTGTGCACTTCTCCTTCTTCCCAAGATTTTCTAGATATCCTCTCCCACCCTTTTTATTTTTTGACTGACCCTAGAAGTTTATGATTTGTCTCAACCTGGCTCACTCCCCTAGTGGGAGGGTGAAAAAACCTTCCAAGGGACCGGAGTGTTCCTGGGGACTGTCTCTGGGGAAGGAGGTGCTCAGAGGTGGCAGAGGCCTTATCTCACCAATCCTCCTTTTCCCGCCAGCTCCAGTGCTGCCCAGCAGGTCATGGCCCTGGGCCCTGTTTTTATTTCTAGTGACAGATGGGGACTCAGGAGAGGCTTAGCAAGGCCCCGAACGTGACTGGCTTGAGGGCTGAGGTAATCGAGGTGGGAGGCCCTTCTCGTTCTCTCACTGGACTTGTGTTCTTCAGGGTCAGAAACCTTGTCTTGTTCATCGTTTTCGTCCTGGGGGCCAGCACAGGGCTGCCCAGCCAGAATATGTTCAATCAGCGTCAGCTCTTGAACAGAACTGATCTTGCCCAACATGAGGTGGCCTCAGAAGACCACACTACTCATTCTAGATGTGTCACAAGTGACCTGACCTGGGCCAAAGGGTGGAGAGCTGAGAGTCAGAGCATCAGAGTGGCTTTACCCTGGGTCTTGCTCATGAAACACGTTGGCTTACATTTGCCGAGCACCTGCCTAGGTCCCGAGCTCTGGAATAAGAGGTGAAGAAGCTGGAGTCCCAGCTTAGATGGGGTACAAGGTGAGGTCAGTAGGTGAGACTTTGTATGGACATTTTTTCTGCTCTGATGTTGCTTCTCTGTTAGAAAGAGCTTCACTGGCCAGTAAGAGAATAGATATGAATCCTTCTCCTTGACCACTTTATTTAACTCAATGCCTCCAAAGGTTTGCTGATGGATCCATGCTGGTTCCTCTTTCCCTCCCTCTCCTCCTTTCAGATGTCTAACCATTCGCCCTAAACATTATAATGCATTCAAATCAGGAGGAATGTGGGAAGTGGCTTTCAGGACAATTACTTGTCTTTTGTTTTGTATAAACTCATTTAAGCTTCAAAAACAAACAAACAAACTACTGAGGTTGTAGATACCTTTAATATGCCCATTTTACAGATGAGGAAACTGAGGATCAGAGATGTTAAATGGTGGATCTGGGATTTGAATCTCTGATGCCAGAGCTTGATCACTTACCCCACTGTGCTCTTGAAATGCAGGAGGTGAGCAGTGAGTTGTAATTCTGTGGATCTTTCTCTTTGGGTCTGAGGTGATGAGGTATGGAAATGAATGAGTGTGGGAGCGCAGGAATGACTCAGCCCAGGGAGAGAGCTTGGGAAATGTGGCTGAGCTCTGCTCCAGGATCACCTGTGGGTCATTACCTCCAGACGGTTGAAGAAGAAGCTTTGATAAAGAATAACAACACCTGTAAGGACTTCCTCATCGAGGCCATGAAATACCATTTGCTCCCTCTGGATCAGAGGCTCTTGATTAAGAACCCAAGGACCAAGCCCAGGACTCCCGTCAGCCTTCCCAAGGTAAGTCCCAGTCCGGTCACTGCCGAGAGTAGGGGCTGTGTCCTGGGTAAGTGGCCTTCCATTACTGCTTCCAAGTCTTTCCTCACCTGTGGCTGCCCTGCATCTTGGTTGCATTTACGACCTAAGAGCTGGAGTCTGCTGGTTCCTCTTGAATCTGCCGGTACCTCTCTCTTCTGGGGTCTTCCTTTCCTAAGAGTTTCAAGGTAACCTCCAGTGTCATCAGGGAGGTTTGAGAATAACTCAGAGCTCCCCCTGCCCCCCATCCCTGCCTTCTCATTTCCCACCATGCTTTGTGCTGTCTTTCTATTAGACGCAGAGGAATGGCTATGCTGGTTTTACTTAGTGATGGCCATAACAGTCCTCCTTCCAGGCCATTCTTTGAATCAGAACAATCCCAGTCTGGTTCCTTCCCTCACCACAGGCAGGAGTAAGGACAGTTAGGGGCTGCCAGAGGAGAGAAGGTCCTTCAGGAGTCTGACAGGTAATGAAAGAATGAAATGGGAAAGAAACGAGGGAAATGAGAACTTGTGAGGGAGCAGCCAGGGGAGGGGAAGGATGAACGTAGGAGGGGACGCCATGACCGAGAGCCTACGCTGGGTGCTGGCTGCTTTGATTCCTGCAAGTCCCCTCCCCTCTCTAAGCCTCACGTCCCTTATCTGAACACTGAAGGCTGCTGCACTCATGATCGCCGAAGTCCTTTCTGACTTGGCATCAAAGTAGTCTCTAGGATTCTAACATGCTGATGTCTGGGGGAAGGTCCCAGTCGACCCAGGAGGAGAGGAGTGAGTGGCGTTGGCTCATTGACGACAAAGTAGGCAGCACCAGGAAGTATTTAGACCCTTGCTTTGCCCTCCTCCTTCTCTTTCCAGCTGGTGCCACCCTCCTTGCCTGCTGCTTCCAGGAAGGTTTCACCAGGGGTAGAGAAGGATGATGTTTTTCAAGACCAGATGTTGAGGTTCTCCGAGGTTTGCAGTTCCTTCTTTCCACTGTGTTCCATGACCCTGGATCACGGAGAGCATAGTGGTTGCAATGTGAACAAATGTCCCAGATAACAATATAAGCAGCTGACCTTTATTGGGTGCTTATTATGTGCCAGGCACTGAGCCGAGGGGATCACATGCATATCTTATTTAATCTTCTCAACAACACCATAAGGTAGAGATAGTTACTATCCTAGTTCTACAAAGGTGGAAACTGAGGTTCAGAAAAGTTAAGTGACTTGCCCAAGGTCAACACAGCTAATGTGGTAGAACTGGCATTTGAATTGAGTCTTTCTCACCCCCCAGACCTGTTCCCTGAACCCATACCATCCTACACCTGGCTTCACCTTCGCAAACCTGAGAGTGCATTCTTACCCGTCTGCCTCACGTTGCCTAGCGTTGTTTAGAAGGTGCAGCCGCAGGCAAGGCCTTGGTCTGGCTGGCCATTTGCCTCACTGCATGCTGATGCCTTTTGTTTTGTTGAAATATTGTGTTGAAATGTCTTCACATTTTTCAAAATGAAAATAACCTAGCTTTCTTTAATTATAGGGATATTTCCTTGTTGTAAATCAGTAAAAGAATACTGCAATTTTGAAATAAAGTAAAAGTCACCTGAAATTTCTCCCAGGGTCAATCACTGCTACCATTTCGGTAAATTTTCTCGCAAACATGTTTCTGTGCACTTATGCACAAATAAAAAATGTACACGTTTAGATAAATGGAATCTTGCCATACAAATTGAAATATTTTCCCCCCACTCAACCATATGCTACAGAGTGATTTCAATGTTATCAGTATGGGTGACATAATCATTTAAATTGTAATGGGTATATAGTATTTAATTGTATTTATATACCACTATGTATTTAATAGTCCCCTACTGATGGGATTTGAAGTAATTTTCATTCTTTTGTATTATAAACATTTCTGTGTCAAATATTCTTTATAAGATAGCATCGTTTTTTAGTTTGCATTTCTTTGATCATGAATGAGATTAATCTTGGTTTCATATGGTTATTGGCATTTGTATTTCCTTTTTGGGGAATTCTCTGTTCCTGTCCTTTGCCCGTTTTTCTTTTGAATTGTACATTTTTTATTAAAAGTTTTTAAGGGCCCTTTATATATGAAAGAGGTTAGGGCTTTGTATGTATGAATTGCAAATATTTTTTTTCTTCATTTGCAGTTTGGCTCTTAACTTGTTTATGATAATTTTTTAATCCCAAAAAACAATTTTTAAGTAGTCAAATTGATCTTCCTTTTGCTTTATAGTTTGGGTTTTGTGTCCTGTTTAGAACTGTTTTCTTTACTCTTGAGATTAGTTTTAAAAATGCCCATATGTTTTCCTCGAGTACTTTCTAAATTTCTGTTTTACATTTGCATCTTTGCTGCATCAGAATTTATTTTGCTCTAAGGAGGGTAGGGATTTGGCTTTGTTTGCATTGCCAGTGACGAGCCAGTTGTGCCAAAGTCATTTTACTGATTAATTTCCCTTCTCCCTACTGATGTGAACATCATCCTTATTATGCTCTGACAAGTGTTGTGTCTTGAGAATGTTGATTCTGAGGTGCATTGTTTTTTTATGTGGAGGAGCCTTTTTATTCTCCTTTATTTTAGCTGGTCTTGTGTCGTGGTGACTTTTCTCTTTGGAAACCATGGTTTTCATCCTAAATGATATCAGGTTAATGACATCTTTGCCTGAGGAGTGTATTCTGGAGCTAAGAAATGTTCAGATCTAGCCCAGATTCTTTGTGTAGAGCCCATACCCAGGGATCTCTCCTTCTCTGGACTCCACATCTAGCTCTTACCACATATACCAATGAAAAGACAGTTTTAAAAATCAAAGTCATACTTTGAACCTGGACTAAGCATGCTGGGAGCCACTCCCCGATCCCCCTATCCCAGACTATCACTTTGAGGATTATCGGGTTGTATATAATCTCATGAAGTCATCGCGTTACTAGGTCAGTACTATGCAGATCCTGCTTCTCTGAGATTGCTCTTGTGCTTTTTCTTTTATACCAAACTGCCTCCCAAGACACAGCTTTCAGGTTTTGGTAGCAGATTCAAAGGATTATTTTCTTTTAAATTTAGATTAATTAAGATATAATAATTTACACACCATAAAATTCACACTTTTCAGGGATACAGTTTGATGAGAATTTATAAATGCATGCAGTCATGTAACCACTATCTCAGTCAAAATATAGAATATATATATTTTTTAAAACAGAGTCTCACTCTGTTGCCCGGGCTAGAGTGAGTGCGGTGGCGTCAGCCTAGCTCACAGCAACCTCAAACTCCTGGGCTCAAGCGATCCTCCTGCCTCAGCCTCCCGGGTAGCTGGGACTACAGGCATGAACCACCATGCCCGGCTAATTTTTTCTATATATTTTTAGTTGTCCAGCTAATTTCTTTCTATTTTTAGTAGAGACAGGGGTCTCATTCTTGCTCAGGCTGGTCTTGAACTCCTGACCTTGAGTGATCCTCCCGCCTCGGCATCCCAGAGTGCTAGGATTACAGGCGTGAGCCACCTCGCCCGGCCTAAATATAGAATATTTTAATCACTATGAAAAGTTCCCATGTGCTGCTTCCCCCTCTTCTACCCCCAGCCCCTGACAGCTGCTGATCTGATTTCTGTCCCTATAATTTTGCCTTTTCTAGAATGTCATGAGAATGGAATCATGCTGTATGCAGCCTTTTGATCTTGGCTTCTTTTTCTTATCATGATGCCTTTGAGATTCATCCGTGTTGTTGCAGGAGTTCATTCCTTTTTAATGCTGAGTAACACACCATTGTGTGGAGGCATCATAATTTGTTTATCCGTTCACCAGTTGGTGGACGTTTGTGTGTCCAGTTTTTGGCTATTACAAATACAGCTGCTAAGATTTCACTTGCAGATCTTTGTGTGGACATACGTTTTAATTTCTCGTGGGTAAATATCTAGGAGTAGGATTGCTGGGTAGTATGGTAAGTATATAATTTAACTTTATAAGACATTGCTAACGTTTTTCAAAATGGCTGTATTATTATGCGTTCCTACCGCCAATGTATGAGAGTTCCAGTTATTCCACAGACTTACCACTACTTGATATTATCTATTTAACAACATTTTAGCTACTCTATTAGGTGTGTGGTAGTATCTCACTGTGGTTTTAATATGCATTTCTCTAATGACTAATGTCATTATTGAACATTTTTTCATGTGCTTATTTGCCACCCATATTTCTTCTTTGGTGAAGCATCTATTCAAATGGGCCTACTTAACCCATTTGAAAATTGGGTTGCTTGCTTATTGAGTTGTAAGAGTTCTTTATATATTCTGGATACAAGTCTTTAATCATATATATATATATGTGTGTGTGTGTGTGTGTGTGTGTGTGTGTGTGTGTGTATAATATTTTCTCCCAACCTATGCTTCGTCTTTTCATTTTCTTAGCATTATCTTTGGAAGAGAGGAAAGTTTTTTTTTTTAGTTTTTTAATTGACGAGTAAAAATTGTATATTTTTATCGTGTACAACATGATGTTTTGAAATATGTGTACATTGTGGAATGGCTAAATTGAGCTAACATATGCATTACCTCACATACTTATTTTTTTGTGATGAGAACACAAAATCTACTCTCTTAGCAATTTTGAAGAATATGAAACATTGTTATTAACCATATCACCATTTTGCACAATAGATCTCTTGAACTTATTCCTCCCATTTAACTAAAATTTTGTATCCTTTGATCAACATTTCCCCTTTCCCCTATCTCCTGATAACCACCATTCTACTCTCTGCTTCCATGTGAATCTTTTTTAGATTCCACATATAAGTGGGATCATGTGGTATTTATCGTTCTGTGCCTGGCTCATTTCACTTAGCATAATGTCCTCCAGGTTCATCTGTGTTGTCACAAATGACAGGATTTCCTTCTTTTTTCAGGGCTGAATAGCATTCCAGTATGTATATATACCACATTTTCTTTATGCATTCATCTGTCAGTGGACACTTAGCTGGTCTCCAACTCCTGGT